GTTGTACCTTCATTCTCATTTGTTTCCAGGAATTTTTATTTCACACTTTATTTCTTCTGTTACCCAATAGTTTTTTGAGCAGTATGTTATTCACTTTCCACATATATATTTTTTCCCTGATCTTCGTATTATTGATTTCTAATTTCATAGCATTGTAATCCAAGAAGACGCTTTGTAGTATTTCAATGTTTTTTAATTTATTGAGGCTTGTTTTGTGTCCTAACATACAGTCTTTTCTGGAAAATGAACCATGTGCACTGAAGAAATGTGTATTGTGCTTCTGTTGGGTGAAGTGCTCTGTAGATGTCTATAAGGTCAAGGTGGTTGATTGTGTTATTTAGTCAAAACGCTTTATTCTTAATAAATTCTAAGAGCTATTTACGAATTTAAAATATCCACTCTGTATTTGGCCTATACATCACAAGTGTTTCTTCCCAAATTATAAGTGCTTTCATTTTGTTTATGATTTTTTTTAAATAAAAAAACATGGGCTACAGGAAACAAGAGATCCAACACAGTAGAACAGATATTAAATAGCTGTGCATGTGATATGGGGGGAACAATTGCAGACTGAATAGCATGACTCAAGAGACAAACAAGGGTTGAGAACCATCATCATAAAACTGCCTGTGGTAGTTAAGTTCGTGTGTCAACTTGGCTGAAGTCTGGTTGAGTGGCTGGGCAGCTGGATGTAGTTATTCCCCATGGTGAGATTGGCAATTAACTTCATGGTGGAATCTATTGGAGCAGCTGAGTAGCTGCTTTAGGGATGTGGTGTGCTTCCCATAGATAAGCAGCAGCTTTGGAAATGGTCTTTAGCCTATGGTACACTTGGACCCTGTATGTAGCCATGTCGTTGTTCAGCAGCCTGCCATGCTCTGCCAACCTTGGGACTTTCAATGGACTTGAATTAATGGCCTGCCGTGTGGTTTGGTAACATCAGGACTATGCCTTTTTACTTGTCAACCTTGGGCTTGTCAGCCTCATCAGCCAGCAGCTGTCTGAGTGAAGAAAAGCCTCTAGCTTCAGTGGGCTGGAAGCAGGAGGGAGAGCTGAAGCCAAAAGTTGAGGGGCTTTCACCCAGCCCCTAGGACCTGCCTGGCACTTTGAACTTGGACTTAAAGCCTCCAAACTGTAAGAGAATAAACTCCTGTTTGTTCAACCATCCCATTTGTGGTATATTCCTGTCAGAGCACCACCAGGTAACCAAAACACTGCCCTATGCTGCTGTACCAACTTTTAAGCTTGATGATGCCCAAGTGAGTTTGTAATGATAAAATTTCGGTAGTGCCCTGCTGTTTGGTCATTTCACCCTACATATGTGTTGTACTTTGACCTAATCCTGAGTTTGGCTACGGCAACCTTAGAAGCAAAAAAATACAAAGCAGTCCCTTCCTTATGACCATATTCCCTCCAGATTTCCATTACTTGGACCATATTACGGCCCTGCCAGATGCCTTCACTTCAATAAACCCTATGTTTCCTCGAGTTCACACTCAGCCTTCCCCACTGACATTCTGAGAAAAAACTTGTTAATTCTCAGTGATGCTAAAGCCAGATAATGACCCAGAGATTCTACGGTGGCATCCCTTTCAATACACAGCTGGGTTTCTGCATATCACTCCATTTTTTTAATTAATCATATTCATTTATGTATATAAAGCACTTTAAGGAAGATAAATGTTGACTAAAAATTCATTTGGAAAAAATTGGCATATTTAACCCTTTCATGACACATGGGTAATATATCACCCATCAATATTTTCAGCCTCTGGGAGAGAAAGCAGCTCTCCCAGTTCTAGTACTTGCTGCCACCTGGCAGGGACCTGTATAACTGAGTGAAGCTGAAGAAATGACCTCACCCCACCAATCCTACCACCAAAGTCCACTTGGGACTTATGGCTTCCACCTAACTTTTTCAAATTCTGTATTACCTCAAAAAATTTTTTCATTGATTTCAGCATGTCTTCCATTACTGCAAACACATGGAATCAACAAAAAATTCAAAGCAGAAAATAATTCTATCATGAAAGCATTAAGTATTTAAGGTAAATCTTAAAACTTAGGTAAATTTACCTTTTTATTCATAATTAAAACCACTAGAATTTTAGAGTAGTTTTTAAGAAGACAGATGTTTTAACAGCAGTTTACAGGAGACAAAAATAATATAGATTTAATGTCTTCTATATTTACACTAACGAGCTCTGGTAGTGCAATGGTTAAGGCATTTGGCACCTAACCAAAAGGTCAGTGGTTCAAACCCACCAGCCACTCTGCAGTAGAAAGATAAGATAGTCTGCTTCCATAAAGATTTACAGCCTGAGTTCTCGCTTTAGCAGCACATATACTAAAATTGGAACGATACAGAGAAGATTAGCAAGGCCCGTGCGCAAGGATGACACACAAATTCATGAAGCGTTCCATATTTTTCAACAAAGATGAACCCTTTTGCACATACAATACTGTGTTGTCAGTAAAGGCAAACATGGGTATATGGATGGATAGATGGGTGGGTAGGCTAAACGATTAGGTATGTCTATGAAATGGGGAATGTGTCCAAGAACATATATAGGGTTGGCAGACAGTGGTCCTATAAGTTTATGTGAATGATCAGAATTCCCAGGTGTATAGTAGAGCTGACAAGGGGCAAGGTTGTGGTCACTGCTTGGTCA